CTTGCTGCATGCTGAATAACGATCCCTCTTAGCTTTGCATTTCCAGCATGCCATACTGATCTCATTGGCACATCTGAGGTTTTATTTTCCTTAAAGAACCAAGACATTTCTTGCATAACTTCTTTCTTTAAATCTTGATTTTGCATTTAAGTTCATTCTCCAAAGCAATGTTTTGTTTTGTATATTCAGTTGTAAAAAACTGGGCTGTGATCAGCAAAAGTTCTTGGCAGTACAGTGGTGCCTCGCTTAGCGAGGTTAATCCATTCCGGATTAACCCTCGCTCAGCGAATCCATCGTTAAGTGAAATAAAAAAGCCCATAGGAACATATTAAAACTGATTTAATACATTCCTATGAGCTTAAAACTCACCGTTCTGCGAGTTTCCTCCATTGCAGCGGCCATTTTGGATGCCTCGTTAGCGAGGCAAAACAGCGGTCACCATTTTGTTTTAGCGGCGGCCATTTTGGAACCGCCGATCAGCTGTTCGCTATGCTTTGATCGCGTCTGCGCGATCATCGCATAGCGAAAAAAGCCCATAGGGGCCATCGCTGAGCGAATGCTCCGGGACCCCTCGTTGTGCGGTTTCATCGCATAGCGAAGCGTTCGCTATGCGAGGCACCACTGTATGTCTATGGTCTTCATCATTTTTATCCAACTTAATGGGATCCAGCATATCTTATGCGAATTTGAATAGAATGTATCATCTTTTTCTTTTAGATGTGTTGCTCTCCATGCATCTACCAAATGAAACTTTTCTGCTATAGACTAAAAGGTTTTAGATAGTATAGTGCTACTTTTCCCCGTTTTCCTAGTATTTGCATGTTCATGTCCAGTTTTCTATCCAGAACTGCACTGAAATCCCTTACACAGTAAATATCTTTGTACTCTTTATCTGCCAGCTCTTTTTGTAGTTCTTTGAAGCATTTTTCTTGATTTTTATTTGGAGCATAGAAATTCACTATCAATGTTTTTTCCTTCCCTCGTTGAATTTTTACCATCAATATTTTTCCATCTTGTGATGCAAAAATTGGTTTAGGTTTCAAATACTCTTTTATAAATGTTGCCACCCTTCTTTTTTTTCTTTATTGTCTGAGGTTGCAAAGAGCCTAATTTTGGTATTTCAAAACATTTCAAGTCTTTTTATATGAATTTCTTGTATGCATGTAACATTCACATTCAGTTTCTTAAGCTGATTTTTCCCCATTTTTCAGGTGTATTCAATCCATTAATGTTAACTGAGATTAGGCTCAGTTGATTTTTAGACATTTCCTGTTTGCTTACTACCTCTGTGGTCCTCCCTCTTCCTTGTAGATCTGGTTTGAATCTGTGCTACTTCTTTGTTTTTTTCTGCCTCTTTAGATTCCTCCTCCTCTTCTCTTCAGATTCTTCTTTGCTTTCCTGAGCTAATTCTGAGTCTACTGATTTCCTGCCTTCTCTTGTATCCTTCCTTTGAACTTCTTCCTCTTTTCTCTTCTTCTCCTTTCTTCCTCCATATCCAACCAGGAAAGCCTCTGCTTTATCCATAGTATTTATATATTGCTGTGGACCTTGATAGTGGAATTGCACACCTTTTGGGATGATCCATCAATAACTGATCTGCATTTTCAGCAAAAATTCTGTTAACTATTTATAATCTACCCTTTTATTTCTGCCTCTCCAGGGAATATCCTTTAACATTTTGTAATCTTAACCTTTCCAGACCAACTATTTCTCTTTTAGATTTGCCAGAACTTGATTTCTAAAACAGCTCCTTAAAATTTTTACATGAATCTCTCTGGGCTTGCAATTGTTTCTTGTATAGACTGTTGAGACCGGCCATACATTGTCCAAATTCTGTTGTATTTCTTCAGGGGCCAATTCTATGATAGAAATGAGTTATTGAGTTATAATTGCTCTTAAATCCTCTTCCTGTTCCTCTTCTTTGTTTTGGAAGCGAAATATATATGAGGTCTTTTTGCTCTCCCAATAAATCAAAGTTCTTTCGTCTTGTGTTATTTTTAAATCTTGCACCCTCACATTGTGCTCCAATTCAGCCAGCCTATTTTCTTTCATATTAACTTGCTTTGTTGGCTTCAACATGGTTTTCCTGTTTTTCAAAATTTTCTGCTGATTCTCATTCACTTGGGTTCCCAAATCCTCTTCCTTTTTTGTCTAAAGCTTGTATATCTTGTCTAATTTGTTGTGCATATCTATCCAGTTCAGAAGGAAAAAGACTTGCATTCTCTGTTCCATCTGTCTTAATTCAGAATCATATGTCATAAACTTTGTGACACCTGATTCAATTTGGGGACTCACTTTTCCTACCTGTTTCCCCCTCTGTGCCATTATAATTTCAATTAAATTTGTCTATCTTCAAAATTATGAATAAGTATATAACTTCCTGCTACCTTCATCTATATATCTTTGTTTTCCCTAATAGTGTAACAAAACCATATTAGTAATATTAGCACATTTAAGTCTAATCAGTTACACAGATTTAACAGATTTGGTACTCCCAACTTCGGAATATATTCCGATATATCAGAGTAAACAAAAAAGAAAAGAAAAAGAAACCTTGCAAAAACTTGCTATAATCTAGATGTCCAACAGATGGTGCTATTAATATCTAAAGTTCAGAACATCCAAAATCAGGAAAGCAAAATCACAATCAAGCAGTTCACCACAATAAATTTCCAGATATATAACTCAGAGAAGTGGGAGGGGAAATTGATTTGAAATCCAGTTTTGTATTCCCAAATCCACAACAATTATAATCCACAAATTAATATAAGGGCAAGCCAACGTACCAAAATAAACAAACAAACAAAAACAAATTTGTAATCCACAGTTAATGTTTCCGTCTGACTGTAAACTCCAAGGACTTCTTGGCCAGATATTATGTAGCAAGTAAAATGAAGTTTAGAATTTCTGTGCTTTCTCCCCAACTGCATTTGTAACTTGGCACTGTCTTGAGAAATATAATACAGATATGCAGTTCTTCTCTATTTTTAACGATACGAGTTTGGATACTTACCAGTTTCAAGATAAACCACCAACTTCAGAAAAGGAAAGCCTGACGTTGTTTGTTCCATTCAGATAAAAATAGCAAAAACAATTTTCATTATGTCCCCAAAAGGATCAGAGAGGAGAGGACATATTATTTTTAATTGCTTTTCTCTCTTTTTCTCACTCTCAAAGTCTAATCACTCCTCATTTCTGCCTTCAACTATAAAAAAGTTCAGATATGTATAATCTCCAAAGCGATGCCCAGCAGTTTCTTGTTTAAAAGTCTAATTTCTTATCTTTAATGAGCCTCTTTACCCCAGTCATCCAATTTCTTCTTCTCTAATCACTCTGGAACAACAGTTCAGGGTACTCATAAATTGTGTTGTGTCTGCAGCATGGCGACCGATGCTCGATCCAGATAACAGCTTGTTGAGACCTTTGGAGCAGACAAGCAGATTCCTACACCTATCTGCTCCCAGTTGGTCCCAATATCTTCTGCAGTGTTCTCTCTTCTGATGACACCCACAGTGGAGCATTTCAGTCCCTTATCTGGTCGATAGAAAGGGATGCCTTCTCAGAGGCACTACCTCCCCTGCTCTGTGACAAGCCCCAATTCCCCTCTTTTTAATTTGTTAATCAACTCTTTTATCCCATACCTTGGAAAATTCTCTGACTTTGCCACCAGTATTAAAGGGGATATTCCAGGCCATAAAACCTGTATCCATTTATTCCAGATCTCAAGTACATTCTTTATAATCTTTTGAATCTTTTTAATGGTTGCTTAAATATTTTTTTTAATTAGACTATTTTTGACCAGAATTGAGCTAGTTAAATAGAATTATCTTGGTGATTTGCTAGATCGTCCTTTGTATACTTGGTGGGACATAAATTGCATACACTTAAGTGCTGCATTGATTGAATTTCTCCAGGGGCACACACACACACATTGTCCTGCATCAAGTAGCCCCATTTCAGTGTGATGACCAAATACTCTGGGTTAGGACAATATTCCAAAATCTTGCCTTCCTGGATAATCTATGCCAGTCATCACTGGGTCAACATGAGAAGAGATTCATTGGCCAGAATCCTAATGCTGATTCACACTTGCATAAGGGAAATCGTACAAGTCTTGGCGCCAAATTGCTGCACACTAATGAGATGTTGGCTCCAGTCCTGGGCATCTAGGAACACAACCAGCATCTCATTAACGATAGTCTATTTGCTGAAAAGACCTGTGTAATTTCCCTTAGAAAAACATAAGTTGGCATAAGGATTTTCGTTTGTGAATCTAACTCCCATCTCTTAAAATTCTACAGTGCAATCAGGATTTACAACACCTGAAAGATATCATTGCCAAAAATCATAGCACTCCTACGCCATGCAATTTTTTGAAATGTTATATCCAAAGTATTTCCAAAGCTCACTTATCCAAGCTGTCCCCAATAGATAGAGCTACTGAATCAATGGATCTTACGTAAATGTTGATTTCAGTCAGTCTGTTATAGCCGAATCTGTTATAGTTGGAAATAACAATTTGATTTGACAAACACACATTGTTATTTTTGCTCTGAGAAAATGAATGGCATGCTTTGTTGTTTTAGCTCCAAAATGTTTGGATAAAAGGTTTTGTTGAAAACAAGTATTAATATAAAGAAACAGCTCCAGGTCAACTAGTTTAGAGCAACCCAATGCTTTATACTTCTTTTCACTTAGCTTTCTATCTACCTTTGAACTCTTGTGACATATTTTCACAAGTCATAATAAAAGCTCTCTCACATAAAAAATTTGTGTGACCACCTCCCTTTCACAAACAAATTAACTGTACATCATATAGCATGTTATTCTCCAAAGTAAGATTTCAGTCTGAAGCATTCCACGAAGGAAATTCAATGAAATGATTAAAGGCAGTATACTATTCCCCTTTCAATAGCAGGCTCTAAACACCTAACATCTGAAGAATTAAAATATATTCAACTGCAAAGGTTTTAACAACTAATTAAAAACAGAAAACTTACATCTCCATCAGATGACAGTGCCATAGAATGATGTGAGCCACAAGCTACTTCAGTTACTTTCTTAATTAGCAAATTGGTACAGACTTGAATGGGTGTGACACCTTGGTTGGTGGTCCCGTTCCCCAGTTGACTGTATCCATTGTGTCCCCAGGCATAAACTTCACCATCTGTACAGGATACAAAAGCACTGATTCCCTTATAATTATGTTTGTTTACCTACTCCTAGATGCTGGTTCTTAATTCAAAATTACATCAGAACCAGATATATGTGACTACTTGAATTTAAACTTCAGTTCTTCTACTTCCAACCACCACCATACTCTACTAATAATGGCATAACCACTGGATAATGGCATACTGTATACAGACACACACAATTAGATTACAATCAAATTTGGTTTATATTACATGTAAATGTTTAAAACCGCACCCACACTCTCTAAAAATAACACAAAGCATTCAACTTCAGAGCCAGAGAGCTAAGAATGAAGAACCACTCTCCAGTCCGCATGTGTTAGAGTGCACAAGTAGTGTGGCTAAGGAAGAAGAGGTTTCTTACCTTCTGTACTGAGAACCACATGTGGCCCACTTCCATAACTGAGACTATGAATCCTCTTTCCACATAACGTTTCAAGTTTCTTTGGTACAATGGTACTTTGGTTATCTCCAGTTCCCAGACAATTACTACAATTTAGTCCAAAAACAAAAACCTGAAGAAAAGACCCATTTCTTTTAATTTTTAAGATACAGAGTTTTTTGAAATATAAACTTGGTCTGCAATGAAAGTTAGATACAATAAGTATGAAATGTCTCACAATTAGAGATGGGGGTATTCTGATTCATATACTACCTATTCGTATTCTACCTATGAATACAAATATCCCCTGGGGCCAGACCATTCACTCACATGTCCAGCAGTGGCAGTGGCCACCCTCATCCTTCCAGTTGTGCCTGGAGTGCTACTTTCTTCCCGCTCGCTCAGCTGGCCATTCCAGGCAGGAGGAGGGAGGAAAAGTCTCCCCGGATGGCTGCTGAGTGGCCAGCAGAGCAGGAAAACAGCAGTGCTCTGGGAGCAATTGGAAGGATTAGCAGGACTGTCACTGAATGCACGAGTGGACGGTCCAGCCCTAGGGGCCAGATCTTCATTAAGTCCAGCTGTGCAGGGATATTCGTATACAAATACCCCCATCTCTACTCACAATCTCAAGCTGAAGCAGAGGCATCAGAGATGGAATATCTCAAGGCCTCAAAATGTTTGGAGTACAATGTCATCAGTACACAAATGGCATACAACTCTACCTGCATCTGTAAATATTTTTGGATATACAGTTTGAGACCCAGAGAAGGCAGCAGTGCTGTGGGTAGGAATACGTCGTTTTTGAGGGGAGGTCCAACTTCCATAATTCTCCAAAGAGTCCCCAAGATTTTAGCTCTCAGACCCAAACACACCCATCCCAAATCCCCAAAGTCTTTCTCAGGATAAAAGGAATCCAAGGGGGCCTTGGAATCTGCACCAGAGGGGGGAGTGAAGTTTTTAATAAGTGACAAAAAGGCCACAGATGATAAGATCATCACTCTTGCGCACACAAGGCTGTGCCCACAGGATTTCAGACATTCTGTGCCACTTACATTGTCTATCTATTCATTTCCAGGCCTAATTTAAACTGTTGGTATTAGACTTTAATACCCTAAATCAGTGGTGGCGAACCTTTTTGGGCTCGTGTGCCCAAAATGGGGGGGGGGGAAGTTATCGTGGTGGCAATGGGCCCAGACCCGGAAGTGGTGGTTTAAGGGGGAATCATGGTGATGGACCCGGAACTGGAAGTTGCAGTTTAAGGGGGAATCATGGCGACGGACCCAGAAGTGGCGGCAGAAGGGGGAATCTAGCCTGCAGCGGCCTCATGAGGTTTGACTGCGCAGAGGGGATGGGAGGGCAGGGGGAGTAGCAACGTATGGATAGCATGCCAGAAGGGCTCCGCGTGCCAGCTGTGGCAGGCGTGCCATAGGTTCGCCATCACTGCCCTAAATGATTTAAGGCCAGCTTACCTTTAAAGGCTGCCTACACTTGTAAGAGCTTGTACTGCACAGTATTTTAATGTATTATGCATTTAGTTGTATCTATTACTATTATTTATTATATTGTTTCTTATTTTCAAGCTTTTGTTATTTATTTTGTGTGTGTTTTCTATAATGGTGTAATCTCCTTTGTGAGAACTTTACTGTGAAAAGCAGGCAACAGCAATCATGAATTTGTATGGTCTTTTTATGTAATCGAGGGACTGTCAAGTCATGATTAACAATTTCTCCCCTATTTTTCAAGTGAATGAACAATAATTACTGCTCATGCAACTCAACAGCAATATTTTCAATTCTAGAGGATACTCAACATTTTTTTAAAAAAACTCTTTTTTAATCTGTTTAATATTAACAAAATTTGGAAATCATGTACCCTATTTTTACTTTATAGACAAGATAACCAAACAATTTTATTTTAAAACATTGAGCTACTTAAACTATGGAGATACATCTATATGGCTCTGTTATAATCTTACCTCATCATTGTGAGTTATGTATATAGCTTCATTGGCAGACGTTCCAAACACACACGCTTTCCGGATAGTTGCTATTTCTTGAGGTGAAAGCAATGTAAATATTGGCCACTTTCCTACATCCATCACAAATCTTCCTGCACTTCATACCAGACTTATAAATAAGTTGGTGTTTCAGCTATCATTTAAAATAAACTCACAGAATCATCTGGAATAGAGGAAAAATATTCTTATGATTACCGAATGTGAATACCCTCTGAATGCCAAGTGCAATCTCCCTGAGGCAACTCAGAACTGATAGGCTCCCATGAATACCAAAGCACTGTCTTATCATGTCATTGTAGAACTGTGACTGCTCAACAATAGGTTGGAGAGGAAAAGGATTATTTTGCCTCAATTTGTTCCAAGAAAAAAAAAAGTTAAATGTAAAGTTTGGGAGTTACAAAAACAATCTTACTCTTATTGTGGAGTGAGTAAATTGTTTTTTATGATTCCCAGTTGGCATAATGGATAGAGTGACCGATGAAGACTTTGGAGTTCAAATCCCCACTTAGCGACGGAAACTCACTGGGAAAGTGGAACTGGTAAAACAACTCCTCAAATTTTTCTTACCTTGAAAGCCCTATTTGGGTCTCTACAAGTCAGTTCTGACTTGACAGCACATAACACAAAATGCTTTCTAAGAAACCCCTAACTCAAAATGCCAAGTACAAAATATTACCATAGAATCAAAGAATCAAGGGGCTGGAACGAGCCTAGAGTAATCTTAATTGATTAGATAGGCGGGATATAAATAAAATAAATAAATAAATAAATCAAGTCAAACCCCCTGCTCAATGCAGAAATCCTAATTAAAGGATATCTAATAGATGGCTGTCTAACTTTCTCTTGAACGCCTCTAGTGTTGGAAAGACAATTAGGAAATTTTTCCTTGTACAGTATTCAACTGAAATCCGGCTTCCAGTAACATGAGCCCATTATATTGTGTTCTGCATTCTGGGGTAATCAAGAACAGATCCTACCTCTCCTTTCTGTGACAATATTTCAGGTAGTAGAAGAGTACTATCCTATCTCTCATCTTCCTTCATAGTGCTTGGTTTCCATTCTTCTGATCATCCTTGATGCCCTCCTCTGAACTTGTTCCAGTATGCTGGCATCCTTTTAAAAGTGCAGTTTCCAGAACTGGACACAGTACTCAAGATGAGGCCTAAGCAGTGCCAAATAGAGAGAGACTACTAACAGCCTCACGAGATTTGGAGACTACGTTTCTGGTAATGCAACCCAAGATAGCATTTATCTTTTTTGCCCTCACATTGTACTGTTAACTCATATTCAGCTTGTGATCTACAGCAATTCCAAAATCCTTCTCACTCATCGTATTTTATTTTATGCCAAGCTTGTAACTGTGCATTTGGTCCCACATCCCACTAAATGTAGGTCTTAACTGTTAAATTTTATTCTGTTGTCTTCAGCCTGGTGCTCAAGCCTATTGAGACATTTCTGAATGTCATTCTGACTTCCAGCGTATTAGCTATTTCACTCAATTTTGTGTAATCCACAAATATGATAACCATTCCCTCATCCAACTCATTCATAAAAATGTCAAAGAGCACTAGGCCCAGGACTGAGCCCTATGTTACTCCATTTATTATCTCCTCTCATTCTGGATATTCTGTAACCAACTGTGTATTTACCTGATAGTAGTTCTATCCAGCCCACACTTAGTCTGCTAATTATGGAACACTTTGTCAAAGGCTTTGCTGAAGTCAAGATATGTTAGGTCTATAGCATTCCCAACATCTTCCAGGGAGGCTACCCAATCAAAAAATGAGATAAGAACAAATCCTGCCAGATTTATGTTGACAAATCCATGTTGACTTCTAGTTATTACTGCATTGTTTTCAAGGTGCTTGCAAACTTATCTCTATATAATCTGTTTTAAAACTTCCCCGGGATTGATGTTAGAGTGACTGGTCTGCAGTTTCCAGGTTTCTCCTTTTCCCCCTTTTTGAAGATAGAGACAACATCAGCCCTCCTCCAATCATCAAGCACTCCATGGTTTCAAGAAAACAGACAGTGGTTCTGAGAGCTCTTGGACACAGTTTATCAGGCCCGGGAGATTTTAACTCATTCAAAGCAATAAAGCATTCCTTGACTACTTATTTATCAATCGCAAGCTGCAGTTATGTTCCCTCCACCTGTATTTCACATTTGCCTGGAATTCATAGACTGTCTTTTGGGGAAAGACCAAACTGAAGTAGGAAATGATCACTTTTCTTCATTATATATTATCATTTTTCCTTCCTGACTAGGTAGCTGAGCCACTTTTTCTCTCTGCTATGCACATACCTGAAGAATCTGGAAGCTGAGTCATGGCAACTAGATCTCTTTCTAATTAGGTTGAAACATTTCACTACGCATTCTTCAGTCTGAGAAGAGTTGGTAGGAGATCCCTGATCTATCTTCCACATTGGCTCCACTTCCTCCTGGTCTGAACAGGCTGGTTAGAAGGACACTGTAGAAACCAAACAGCCACTAAACAGGAAAACGGCCCAGCGAAGGACGGGCAATTGCACAGGACTGTAGAAGTCACAAAATGAGAAGGCTGATAGTTTAGGTCAGACCTGGGCAAAGTACAGCCTGAGGGCCACATACAGCCTGCCAGCTGCTCCTGTCCGGCCCGCCGGTCGTCGCTCCAGTCCAGTGTTCAAGCACTTGTTCAAGCCCAAGACAGACTGGATTTCTCTCACTGAACAAGTTTATAGCTTTTTGTCTAAAGTTGATCAGTTGCTTATCTTTATTTTTAAGTAAAGTTGGTTCGACCCCCGAACACTGTTCAGATTTTTCATGTGGCCCCCTATAGAAATTAATTGCCCACCCCTGGTTTAGGTGATCACCCAATAGAGAAAGCAATTAGTTTAATTTAGAGAGAGAGCAAAGACGTCAGTCACACACAGAGATGTCTGCCAGCAGAGTCCTCCATACACACCACTCCATACACCTCTTGGGCAACGCCCCCAGGAGGACTCCTTTTATTAATCTTACAGATTGTTGATAGTATACAGATAGGATAATAGTTACATAATGCCAATTAGGATTGGCCAAAGAAAGGCTTTGAAGTTAGCTCTCTATCTCTATGAGAAAGAGGAAGAATGGGCAGCTGCTCCTCCCCTCAGAAGCAGCTTCTAACCTCAGGAGAAAGGTTAGAAGGACAAAAGTCATTTCTTTCTAACCTTAGAAAGAAAACCAGCTGCCATGACCTTACGTGTATGACTGAGAATTGTCACAGATATATAGCTAAAGAATGCTTTCTTGTTGCTTTCAGTGTCCCTTGCTAACCTCAGTCATTCTCAGCTTTTGCCTTACTAATGCCATCCCTGCAATTCTTTGCAACTTGTCTGTACTTTTCCTTTTGTGGCCATGTGTTCCTTCCACTATATGTGTTCTTTTTTATTTTCAGATCTTCTTTGAACTTTTTGTCAAGCTACATTGTTTTTTCCTTATCTCCCACCAGTTCCATCTTTTTGTAATTTGTAGTTCTTTTACCTTTAGAATTTACTTTTTGAGAAACTCCCACCCATCTTAAGACTCTTTTTCCCGTTAGGATTTCCTTTCATGATATCTTACTTATCAGTGTTCTATTAAAATTGTCTTTCCTAAAATCCAGCATATATGTGCAGCTATACTTTACTTTTTGTTTCCTTTGAAATCAAAAACTCAAATAGAACATGGTCACTGTCCCCCAGAGTTCTTCTTGCTGCCACTTCTTCCACCAAGTAATCTCTATTTGTTAGGATGAAGTCCAGGATAGCTAATCCTCTAGTTCCTTCCTCCACTACTTGTAGGAAAAAATTATCAGCCACACAAACTAGGAATTTTTTGAAGAGCCAGAATTTGTTTCCAACAGATTTCAGGATAAGTGAATTCTCCCATTACAGTGGTGCCTCGCTTAACGATTGCCTCACTTAACAAAGAATTCGCTTACTGATGGGTTTCTTTTAGGAATTTTCCGCATCGTTTAACGATGTTCTCTATGGGGGATTTTCACTTAACGATGTCCGTTTTCGCTCATGTAAAAGTGCCTTAAAATGTTTGAAACCGTCCAATGCTTTTCAATGAGAGAGAGAAAAAATTCACCAAAACTTAACGAAGACTCAGAACAACACCAAATTAAGTTTGCATACATTACACGAGGGGGACTAACGATTGCAAGCATTTAAAACAGGTTTCAAACGGTTTAAGACACTTTTAAAGGAGCGAAAACGGACATCGGAAAGCCATTCAAATGCACTGAATTGGCTTCAATGCATTTCAATTGGGGAACCGCGTTTCGCTCAACGATGTTTCCTATGGCGATTTTCGCTTAAGGACGGCAATCCGTTCCAATTGGAATGGATTAACCGGGTTTCAATGTATTCCTATGGGAAATGGTGTTTCGCTTAACAATGTTTTCACATAACGATTTTTTAATGGAACCAATTAACATCGTTAAGCGAGGCACCACTGTACTACCATATTGTGTCTTTCTGACACAGTGCAATTTGTTTTTCAAAGGTTTCCTCCTCCTCTTTTTCTTGATTAGATGATCAGTAACAGACTGCAACTATCACATTCCTTTTGTTTTTGAGGCCAATTATATCAAACCAAATTATCTCAATGAGACAAACTCATTATCCTATATTTCTGTGTAGGAATACGACTCCTCACTTTTTATCTTTTGTTCTTTTTGAGCATTTCACATCCTTCAATTGCTGTATTCCAGTCATCAAAAAAATTCCTCCAAGTTTCAATTATCCCTGTCAAATCAGAGTTACCTTCCTGAGCTAAGATTTCCAGTTCTCTTCATTTGTTTCCCATATTGTATATAGACATTAGAGATTATGTGATTTGTGGCCTGATTTCCTTTTTACATTTTTATGAAGATTATTATTGTGCCAAATGAAGCCACAACTTTATATTCTCCACTGCTAGAGGCTTCCAGGAGCATTAGCTTCTACATAAAAGGGGCAACGCTACCCAAGCAAAGGGAGGTGCTGCAAGGTCAGAAGACCTGCAGTCGTAAGATCGAATCCACGTGACAGAGCCCATCTCCGTTGCTTGTCCCAGCTCCTGCCAAACTAGCAATTCGAAACCATGCAAAATGCGAGTAGATAAATAGGGACCATCAGGGTGGGAAGGTAACAGCATTCCGTGTCTAGTCGCAACGCCACCTAGAGTCGGACACGACTGGATAAACTGTCAAGGGGAACCTTTACCTTACCCCATTAACAGTAATATTATTATTAAGTACATACGATAGGGTGGAGAGTGTGCCTCGCGGCATAAATAGCAAAACTGCATTGAATTTAAACAAACTTTGATATAATACCAGAAAACTGCAATCAAGTTTTATTGAATGTAGTTTTTGTCTAGGTGTTTTGCATATGCCAATAAAGGTTTTGAGTAATTGATAGTAATAAAAATTCACAAAATCAAAACAGGAAGTGCACATTTGGGTGCTTACAATTTTGATTTTCTTTTTTTTTTTTAAAGTCACTCCTTGCCTTGGAAAAAGCAAATGAGGGTATCATTGTATAAAATATTTCAAGCCTATTATGTTGCCCATTCTGATCTAGCTAGCTGTTCTGAATATACAGACAATTCATATGAATATTAACTTCATAAATAAGACAAATAGGACAATTCTATTTTATACGAAAATTTAAAAGTGCTAAATTTTGCTAAAATAATAAAATGCGCTAAGAAAGCATTGCATATATGTTCATTTCCCTCTAAATATTTGTTTTCCTCCAGGCGGTTAAAATGATTGTTTCCTCCCCCATCCAGCTTCAGATTTGAAACATTTTAAATGTTTCTGGTTACAGTCTAGATTTAATTCTCTCAGCTGGAGAGAAGGACACTGTTATGTTACAATAGGTTTTGCAGAAGTTCATTTGTTACAATCAGACCAATTGCTGTTAATATTCAGACTTCACTTGTCGGCAAAGGTGGGGGGGGTTATTAAAAGAGTCTAACTCCAAAAAATTAATGGACTTCTCAATATTCTGATAACTTTCAAGATGGTATAAGACAGCGGTCCCCAACTTTTTGGGGGCTGGGAGTGAGCTCCATGCGCAGGGGGGCAGGGGCATCCCCGTGCTCATGCGGTAGGTGTGTCACACTCACACGCATGTACACAAGTGTGACACCCATCTGAGCATGACAGACCAGCCGCGGGCGTGAAACACCCCCATGCGCGAGAGAAATGCCCACTGCGGGCACAACACCCCCCCCATGAGCATGACACAACCTTCCCCGCGAGCGTGCAGGGGGAGGAGATCCATATGTGTGGCCCAGTTCCAGCAAGCCCATGGACCAGCACCAGGCTGCAGACTGGGGGTTGACAACCTATCAAAGCCCAATTTCATAGAATCATAGAAAACTGAAGTTGGAAGCGACCTACAAGGCCATCAAGTCCAACCCTCTGCTCAGTGCAGAAATACAATCAAAGCATATCTGCCAGGTGGTTGTCTTAAGTTTTTCTTTAATGCCTCCAGTGTTAGAGCACTCACCAACTCTCAAGGTAATTGGTTCCACTGTCTTACTGTTCTAACAGTTAGGACATTTTTCCTGAAATTCAGTCGAAATCTGGCTTCCTGTAACTTGAGTCCATTGTCTGGTGTCCTGCACTCAGGGATGATTGAGAACAGGTCCTGCCCCTCCTCTGTATGATAGGCTTTCAAGTACAGTATTTGAAAATGTTATCACCCCTCTGTCTTCTTTTATCAAGGCGAAACATGCCCAATTCTTTCAGCCTTTCCTCATAAGGCTTGATTTCCAGTCCCCTGATCAGACCTCCTCTGAATTTGTTCCAATTTGTCAGCCTCTTTCTTGAAGTGTGGTGTCCAGAACTAGACACAAACCTCAAGGTGAGGCCTAACCAGTACTGAATAGAGGGTGTGACATTTATACCCTATGGCCCCTGCTTGTTTCACAGGGCTCACACGAGTATCCCTATACCCATGTATGTATAAATTTATTTATTAATACCCCACCTTTCTCTTTAAAAAGGACCTAAGGCAACTTACATAATTAAAATACCATATTTAAAGTTAGGTACCAACATAATTTCCAATATTGTAATAGTACTTCCCAGATTACATGCAATATCCACAGCCTTTATTTAAATGCAGGACAAGCAATTCAGCCAATATTTCATGTTTCTAATGACCAAATCTCTTGCTATTGTTAAAACAGTTATAATTTGCAGAGTCCAATACATTGAAACAATTTTGAGTGCTTTTGCCTTGATTGCTTAAAAGATTCAGTGTTTCTTATTTTCCTTCAAAACTATTTTGAGGCTCTATTTTGTTAACATTTTAATTCTTTCAATTTAACAAGTCCAAAGAAGATTATTCAACGTGGGGAAAAGAGTTAAACTCAGGATTTGCAACCAAACTGATAAAAATTACTATCCCACCTTTATATAGATAGCTACACATCATATACACATACTTGTGTCTCAGTTATGGATAGATTCAGCTACTTTTCTGAAAGATATAATTTGTTGCCCTGGCTAAGTAAAAGTCTCCTTTAACACAGTCATATCCACTAACTAACACATCTAATAATCTACACAGGGTTCCTCATTTGCATATTTATTAATTTCCATCAGCTTCACTATTAATAAGAATCAACATAATATCCACTACTTTGAAAGGAGATAGAGCAGAGCACAGAATCTCTTTAGAGCAGAGATTAAAATAAAGGCATATATAAGAAACTGAATCCTAAAAGCATAAAAATCACAACATATAAAAATAGCCAGCAATACAGGACAACAAGCACCAGCATGTAAGTATATTAAGTGTTAAGCCTTTCTGATCCCTTGTTACTGTGAAGCCTAGAACCCAAGTCTCATGATACTACTTTAAGGAACTGTGAGGCACAACACACTCATAGTACAGTACTAAAAATGCAGATCCTTTCAAAGGCAACCCGATCCTGTTTCAACAAATTAACAACGTGTTTAGTCCTGAGAATCTGCTTACTGAATATTCTCTACGGAGCTAATCGTACACGGTATCCATCAGGATTCACAGTAAGCATAAACAGCATATACTGATACCATATCAGAAGTTCAAGGACCAGTAAACGTACAGAAAACGGTGCCGCCACATGCAGGTTTTGCAAATCAGTAGCTCTTGGTAGATTGCACAACGCCGCTACACAACGCCCTATTACTGTACTCGGAAGACCGTTTTAGCAAAGGGACCAGGGTTCATGAACAACTCCAATGCAAAACCACCTCACCTTTGATAAGCCCTGACTGCACGCCTAGGATACAACTGACACACAACAGGCAGTATTTCACAAATCTCAACGACGCTCTTTTCTGAAACATGTTACGTTTAGCCGGACTAATCCCTGAATGCAAAATATAAACGTTTACTGAAGGCGCCGACTCCACCTCACCACTCTTCCGGAGAGAAAGCATTCACATAAGCTGCATTTCGCAGCCACCTCCACCACAGAGTTGCCCGAAAAAGGCCCCGCGCAGGCGGGTCTCTCGACATACAAACCTGGAGGGCCCCCTTCAGTTCCTCCAGGCGCGGAGGAAGCCCGCCGCTCGCTGACGCTTCCCCCCCCTTCCCCCCCGTCCCGCAGAGCTGCTTCCGCCTCCCTGAGCAAGGAAGAAGAAGCGACCATCAGCCAAACGGCTCGGCAGAACCTGACGCGAAAAGAGCGCAGGCGCCGTCGCGGCACCTAAAGGAATTACGACAGGCTCGAGCGAGGCGCTGCCCGGATTCTTTTCTCTGATTGGCTCCTTGGCAGCCACTGAGCTATAAGCGATAGAATGTGAGCTTCTTCCGGGTCTCTAGCGTCACTTCCTGGTTTAGACTCCCGTATTTGCACCTGTTCGCCCAGATCCTGTGATTTCCTTGCTTTTATTGCTTCTGATCGGAAGGAACTGACAGATGAAACGGTCTCCTTCAAACCCGAAATTGTGCTTTTTTTGGGAGGGGGGTCTCTGCAGTGGACGGGTTGGTAGGGGCAGGGTGGTTTGTTGCGGTAAAACATGCATGTGGCACCTTAACGACAGAGGTGTTAATAATTTAATGATTTATGATGTTTTATTATATTTTATGATTTTTTTCATATTTGTAAGTCGATGCTGTCTGGGGGGGGCGGGGTAAAAATCTAATAAATAAATACTGTAAAAACAGATTGTTTCCCTTTGCGTAACTCCGTGCTTTCCCAGGAGGTTTCGTCAGGGCTTCCAGGCGGGGTCGGGGGAAGAAGGTAAGAATGATGGTTGTCCCCTATTCTCCGGGCCTTTTCTTACCCGCTTCTGAAGGGTGGAAGATAGCATCCCCTTCGCCTTGCGGTTGACGGAGCGGGAGGCACCATCCTTCGAGAAAGGAGACTGACATTGAGGCAGCGGGGAAAGTAGTTTGATCCACTGTGATTTGAAGTTTATCAGATCAGGTATCCCGGGTGAAATCGCTCTTGCCAGCCAAACAAAAATTTGCACGAGGCAGTAGAGCCACAGAGCACCAGCAGCAGAAGCTGCCTTATGACGCCAGTACCTCTGTACTGAGTTCTCCTAAATGCCCTGGCAGTAGGTTGTTCCAGTGCCGAACTGAAACTTTTTTGTTAAACACTTTGGAAACAAGGGGTTCTTAGCTGAGGGAAATGACACTACCATGAGTGCCCCTTTACATCGGATCACGCATTCACACTGGCAGAAAGCAGACAAAACTGATTGCAACAGACTTAAACCACCTCTGCCAGTTGAACACAAACGAGTCCCTGCTTTTAAAAAAAAGGCCACAATAGGCGTTAAGCATGCAGTCGCTGGCTTTTAATTAAAATTCATCAGTGCCCTGTTGATATAAATTGTGGGGTATTTTGGTATGCAATAGGAAAAATGACCATATAAACTGATCATCATACAATAAAAAAGTTGAACATAATTCTCTAAGAGATGTAATCTATAAGTTAGTAGTTACATATGCAAGACACCCTATTCTACATATTAAATTTTAGATGCAATGCAGTTAGTTCCATCTAGCAATGGAAGCCTGCTCTCAGCAGGACTGAAGAGGTCAGTCTTCAACAAGACTAACCTCCGTTTGAATCTCTACTTGTTCCAGAAGGTCCTCCAGTTCTTCAGGACAGTTCTAGGAGAGTGAGGCTGCAAGGAAGAAGGTGAATTGCCTTCCCCTTAGTCCTGCTCTATTCCCTTTCAATTTCCATTTAGTGGAGGGAAGTAGATGAATTCTCCCTATTATATTGAGATGAAAGTTTGTTAATTTAAAGCAGTAGTGGAAAATGTAATTGGTTGTCATTAGTTCTAGCCAATGTAATCAGCTGATGTAGTAGAATAGTATTAGGAGAAAAATCAGGCAGACACAGTTTAAATGGCCATAGAAAGCTACTTTATTGAACATACAACACTTTCAGAAAATATTATGAAAAGATATTTAGTTCTCACAGAAAAGGCAACTGCATGCAAACTACTGTAATTTGTTAAAAGATGAAATTTTTACAAAACATTTTTATTATTGAGCTGTTAACATCTGCTATAAAAATATTAAATGTAAAGAAGGTTCCATTCAAATTATTCATTTGAGTAAAATAGTTTGCAAACATCTAGAACTTAAAAATTATAGCCCTTTTGGCAAAAAAAATCTTTTCATTGTATCTAAGAGGAAAAATCAGTTCTGTACATAACTATGGTTTGCATTCTTCAGCTAAAGGAAAAGAAAATACTTCACAGTTTAAGTTCTTCCTTCTACGGGTGAGATTCAATGTTAAATTACGGCAAATGTAATTAATGTATCACCTTTTTTTTCCATAACAGAACTTGAGGCAGCATTTGTAGGAAGTCTCCTAGACACATGTCTATTTCAGTAAGGATGTCTTCATTTGTAACTTTAGTCTAACCATGAACTGAAATACTAAAGAAATCATTTGAGTAGTATCATGCCTGAAGAGTAAGAACACAAGCTTTTGTTCTCAGACATTGTTTCTTAGTAAGCTTTTTGTGGGAGAAGTAGAACAGCCTGATAGTATCTTGTCCCTTGGTCAACATCAGAGAGATAATTAGCTTGGAAAGTAGGGCATGGCTGAGGAAAGGCCATATAGACTAGTCACTAAGTAGAAGCAGATTGGAAAGTTTAACAGCCCCCAGGGAAAGACGTCTCTGTGGCTATGGGCCTGTCCCTATACTCATGTTATGTTATGTAACCTTCAATTCACTAGAGCTGTGATGGTGAACCTATGGCATGCGGAGCCCTTTCTGCCGGCACGTGAGCCATAAGTCACTGGATCGCTACTCCCCCCATGCGCAGCCAAACCTGAGAAGGTGGCTGCAGCCACAGTGCTGGCGCTTTGGGAGGTGGATCTGGAGTGGCTGCAGCTGGTGCTGGCAGTGGATCTGGAGTGGGGTCTCGAGGCACCTCTGTGCCGGGATTCCCCCTTCGCCACTGCGACACACCACCCACTGTTTCCCATTCCCCAAGTTTGGGCACCTTCTGTCTCATAGAAGCCTTCAGGAGAGGGATGCAGTCCTTCACTATAAAATGGTTCTCCACCCCGATACATGAATTTTAAAAAACTGCATTCTTAATAAAGATCAAAGTTGGCTGCCAGTTGGCAAGGTCAAAGACTTTCTTCTAGTTGTCTGATTACTTTTGATGCTCTGTTTGGAGGTGTGGGGTTGCAACTTTCCCCTAGATAGCTTGCCTTTTCTATTCTGTTAAAGCTGGTCACTACAATGCTAATGCCCCTATGATCTTATGTGAAAACTGATGGAAGTTCATTTTAATAAAATTATAGCCTATTTTCAGCAGTGGCATTGGCCTCTGTTCACCTTATGAGTTTCCCTCAAGTATACATGGACTCAATGCACTGCTTGATACTGTCAAATCTTTAAACATTCTGTATGTCATCATTGTGATGGCAGGGGGTGGGGGAGAGTACAACATATTTTGCTCAACCATTTTAATAAAATATGGATTAAACTGAATTTCAATAAAAGGTTCTACTACGATGTGCTTAGGAAGAGAATCTATTCTGCTTGCTTCTGTTATTCAGCAACTATTTGCAAAGCCTCCCCTCCCTGGACCTTTTTTTAAAATAAATAAAACCCTGTTTTTCTTTTGTGCACATAAGAGTTCTGTGTTCAGCGCTTTGATTGCAAAAACCATTATACTATCTTCAGTTTGGGGAATTATAGACAGCTCAGAAAGTGCTTGGAATTGTCATCTGTCTTTAATGAGAACATTTTGACGGCATTCTCCAGAGGGTAGTGCTCCCCTGAGTTTAAAGGAGAAATAATAGAGTGAGTGGTAGCATACTAAACACAAGAAAAGGGACCCTGTGCCTTGGGGAAATATAAATCAAGTACCCAGAAATGGGAGAGTTGTTTAACGGATTTTGTGGATCCCTTCACAACTATACTCAATATATAAAGGGAGAAGCTGGCCTTTACAATGATTGTTCTGGTAATATACATTAATAGTTTGATCTGTCTCCTGGAAACCTCTCTCCTTTGTGTCCTAAAACTAATTATCATGCAAGCATACAATACTCATCACAATATTCTGCAATATGAGGTTTAATCACTGTTCAGAAAATGTATTATTTTTTATAATTTAGTGTCAGAACACGCAAAAACTGCAGGTAGATCCTAGAATAACTGCTCTTTGCATAATACTTCCCTTTAGCCCTTGGGTTGCTGTCAAAACTGAAAAATTGTCCTCAGTTCTGCTGAGATGCCACCATTTAAATACACTTCATAAAATACAACAATGTATTTATAAAAAGATTAAGATGTGTGCTAACAATTTATTTGAGAGCCAGTGTGGTGCAGGAGAGAGAATGACAGAGACCTGGCTTCAAATCTCCTTGGTCATGGAAACTCACTGGGGGTGGGGGTGGGGGGGTGGCAGCAGTGGTTAAAAAGCAACTTCTTAAGTATTTCACTTACCTTTAAAACCCTACTAGAATTGGGGAAGTGGGTTGTGACTTGACAGTGCATAACATACATATAACGACATCATCTGGCTTCGTATCCTGTACACTGTTTTGATTCAATTCTTTAAAAAAAACTGGTTTATGAATGTGGGATACTGTGCTTCTGTATCCACAATTCAAATACAGTGGTGCCTCGCATAGCGAGGTTAATTAGTTACAAAAAAACCATCGCTATGGGAAAATATCGTTAAGTGAAACACGTTTTCCCATAGAGATGCACTGAAAACCGGATAATCCGTTCCAATAGGAACGGATTATCCGGTTTTCTTCCCCACTATTGGGCGCAGCCTTTTGGGAGAAGCCTCGGGGGAGGGGGGAAGACGGCATCGGCTCCTGCCTTCTCCCAAAGGGCTGCCCCAACTGTGCTTGCAGCAGCGGAGGAGGTGCCGGGTGGAGGAGAAGGCAGGAGCCGATCTGGCCTTTCTCCTCCACCGGGCACCTCTTCCGCTGCTGCAAGCAACATCGGGACAGCCCTTTGGGAGGAGCCGGGCTGTGGAGAAGGCTGAAGCCGATCCAATCCTTCCCCCGCACCATCGGGCGCAGCGCTTTCGGAGAAGCCTCCCGGTGGAGGGGGGGGGGGGT